TATCATCTTACTCGCTTCCTTCAACTTAAATAAGAATATGTGAGGGTGTGGAGAAAGTGTATCACAAGAAAAAATGTGTCGGTACCTTGAAAATATACTATGAATGAGAAGAAAAAAGACGAATTTTGGTTACAAATCATTTATTTCTCGTATGTAAAATAATTGCTAAGTATATTAGGTGGTAGAATTTTTTGAGTTCTATCATTGATAGATAAATCCAAGAATGTTATTGCTATTATATAAAAAACGCTCTGCGAATATTTTGCTGAAGAAATGTGAAAAAGAGCAAAATATTTTTTTTTCTGAATGTCAATCTATGATTTAGCTAATTGAATAAAATTTTTAAAATTTTCTATATAGTAGTAGTCTTATTCATCAAGAATTATTATTTCAAAAGTCTTAAGTCAAAACTGCTTCACTTCAAAAAAGAAAAGTTGTTTTGTTGAAGAAAATTTTGAAAAAGTTTAAAAAATCAGAAAATAATTATCATTAAAGATATGATCAGTATTTGATAATGTCATTAGAAAAATTGATGTTATTAAGTTGTAATTTTCAGGAATTACAAAACTCGTGCCCTTCTATACCATAAAAAACATGAGAAAACTCTAAGATGTCACTTCATCTTCAATGTCTAAGTCTCTTACTGTTAATAACTCTTTCACTACTCTTTCAATTAACATAGCACTGGTATTGTTCCAAATAAAAAGAAAAAAAGAGAAAAAAGGTCAGCAAGAAAAAAAACGGCACACTATCTATATATTTCATGAAAAAGGTCTCCTCTTCCTCCTGTACAAGGACACACACTCGATGTTTTTTTTTTCTTCCAAAAGAATGAATCATTCCGTGCGGATACACACGAAAGAACAAATGATCTAACTGAAGATTTATTTTAGTAGATGACCATGAAATAAAGACTTAGTCTTAAGAATTTTTATTCTCTAAAATCCATGTAAAACAAAGTTAATCCATCTAAATCAATAACGGAGTTCTTAATGAAAGACAAGTACAGAGATAGATTTTTAAGAATGCAGTGTTACTTTAATGCTTCCTTTTCTCCTAATCGAAGAAACAGGACAGTGAAGACGACCAAAATATGAACTGTCGAATTCAATATATTTTAAAGGGTATTGAACTTCTCTTTTGACACTTGTCGTGCTGTTGAGTCGTTTAAAACTAGCCAAGTATTGTTTGTTTTATTGAAGGAAGAATATAAACGATAAATTCACTTGTGAATTTTTCCATGACCTTGGTAAAAATATGTATAGATAGATAATAGTGATTTACTTGAGGACTTTATTTTTTGCGTATAATTACGTGCATGAGTCTTGGAGACATGAAACAGACAAAACAAATTGTTTTCAATATCAAGACCAGAGCTAATTTTTTAATGCTTCTCTTTTGAAAATGAATTTAGTGATCTGCAGTATTTTGGTTTCAAAAAAAGTTAGAATATATAATCTAACTACATATTATGGTCGACATTATTAGACAGCATCCTCTTGTGCAGTAAGTATATTTCTAATTTGAATGTCTTCCTTATGATTGTATTGACGTTTTATTTTATCATCTGATTGTTGTCGCTATTTACTATTATATTGTGTCTTTCTTGTGTTCAGTCTTTTTCTCTTCGCTGTAGTCTAGTGCAAGTACTCACGCTAGAAAATGCCACGGATACTCTGAAAAAACTAAGGTACCAAGTGAACCATTTTTGCAACGAAATCGAAACCTTCAAAAGTTTGGTAACAATAGAAGATTGTTTCAAAATGGTTGACAGGAGTTCAGGAAACTTTTTCAAAGGCTTCGTAGGCTTACTACAAAACTTGAAAAAAAAGTTTTAGTTTCTTTGTAAAAGTTGAAAACTCATTTTAAGTTTCGAAGTAAGGACGAAACCATTTTGGTTTCATATGATACCTTATTTTTCACAGTGCTCATGAGAACTCATTGGTTTTGAGTACTCATCAACAGCACTTGTGCTAGAATCTGAGTATAACAGCCGAGTACTCGCCTTATAAATTGAGTGTTTCAGGAGTGCTCATGACACAAGTTTTGTGTACTCTAGTATTTTTTTGTAAAATACTGGTAGCCTTACGTTTCGTGCAGCATTTTTGTACTATATCCATTTTATTTAATTGAAAAACTAATAATAAAATGCTGCCATAAATTATGAAAATTTCAGGAATCAAGATGTTACATTACGTTTATGTTTTTATGTAAAGTATAGAGATAAACTTTTGATCTTCAAAGAATAAAGAAACAGCGAATAAAAAAAGTTATTGATGACAGTACAACATCAACAGAGAGAAATGAGCAATAAACTATTCATGAAATTAACGTATTGAGGACCCATTTTTTATGAAAGAAATACAGGTGAAGTTTCAGAATTAATTACCAGTTAAAAAGTACTAACTATCATAAATATCCTACTTATTCTTTACAGATACAAAAAGAAAATTTTGAGATAGAAAAACAAAAAAAACATTCGAAGAATCTAGTTTAATCAGTTCAAAGATTTCAGCTTCTACAAAAATTTTCAAACGATACGTATATATATATATATATATATGAGTTAATATACGCGATATTAATATACGTGTAGCATAGATCGTTATAACAAGACAAGCAAATATTTTGTACTGATAGTCAGATTTCATTTAATAATACATCAAAAAAATAAATAAATAAAAATTAGTTCCGAACGAATTATTGTTTATGTTTAAATAATTAAATGTTTAATCTTACTCGGACAATGAACGGTTGATAATCAAAGTTGCTTTAGTATTCTTTAAATGACCATTCATTAAAATACGATGAATCATTCATTAGAAAAGAATTGAGGATAAAATAGATAAGACCTCAAAATAGTCCTTCTCTGTTTTTCATTTAATCATAATATTTTTTACACACCTTGATTCGATTTGCATACATGTTAGTGCATAGGCGTTTCGTTATATATTCTACCAAAAATAGAGAATGAGTACCACACTGAGTGCTCATGCCTTCATCTGCAAGTAAATCTTGGAGAAACAGCTCATATGAGTACTCTCTAGAGTACACGAAAAGTATGATTATACATATAATTTCTCGAGTACTCGCGCAAGTAATTTGAGTACTTCTGCTGGCAGGTTGTGTTTATTAAATGAATATTTTCACTAGGGTAACAGTCATCTTCAGTCTTATATCGGTCTACCTACAAAATGCCGGATGCAATTTTGTTGCTTATAATAGCAAAGGTACGTTATTTTTTATCATTGTCATTTTCATCGTCATTATCAACATTTATCTTCTCTATTAATTCAGGATCGACTTCATTCCGAGCAACATATGCAACGAATACGAAAAATGCTAACAGGCTTTTTATTACCGACTCGACATCTCTTGCGGCTAGTGTACGTCTGTTGTCTGATGTCTTTCACTCAACGCATATTTTTTATGCCATTTCGTATAGTTAGCCGAACAGCTACATCTGTCTAGAAGCAGTACTATAAAAGTGATATTGTCACAATTTCTTCCATCATCATTTAATAAGAGGAAGAGAGGACAGTAAGCGAAACATTAAAGATGACCAGTCATTTGCTTGTTGCATATAGGGACACATGTGACCGTGATATATATGGTTTCACAGGCGATCTCTTTATCGTTGAAGCTCAGGTCTTTGGTCCAAATGTTTGTCATACCCAATACTGTCATGAAAAGTTCAAGAAAAATATTGCACGTACTATGCAATTGTATTCATCTCTAAAACTGCCTTTCAAAGTGATCAGTGGTGTACCTGTTACTATTTCAATGGTCTTATGTAAAGGACGGGGGCGCATAAGATACCGTATCGGCCCATTGGTAATTTACTTGGCTTACTATACTAATTTACATATCAATTGATAGAGAATGTTGAGGTTAGTAATTGCTATAAGTTTCATGAAGTTCGCACAAAGCTTTCATGAATAAACCTTTTCCACAATTTCACATATTTTGGCTCATTATTATAAGAGTTAGCCCTTTTATAATGGACTTTCTTCTTTNTACACTCTTCAACACTGATTATTCTCCATGATCTATTTTTTAATTTTGCAGTATACAATGTATTGCAGATGGGTTTCAAAATAGAAAAATCAAATGCTGAATTTAGTGTGTCAAGAATACAAACAAAAAAGCAGAAATAAAATCTCGAATAAATAGCTAAAATGTCTTTATAAACGACTTCTCAGCGACTTGTTTAACAGTGTTCTTGTATGAATAGCTGTTGAATAAACTTGATATGAATAATATGTTTGAACTGAAGGATGTGTGAAATTGGACGAATAAAATATGCTTAAAAATATTTGATTTTATGAGGAAAACGTACTCGTTCAAATAGAATAAAACAATTGAAAATGATCAAATACTCTTTATATCTATTATATTTATAGATAGATAGATGGAAGTAAAAAAGAAACTTTTTTCTTGTCATTAAAGTAACATTAGAGAATACAAAAAGTATCAATTTACTGATTTTTCGAATAGATTGAACATATAGAAAAACGTATAACAATAATGACAACACTTACATGTAGTATTAAAAGTTTTCTTTCATGTCATATGAAATTACGTTCTCTTATTTGTTTGTTTTTACAAAATACTTGTAAACAAAGACTTCACTATTTTCATTTGAGTTTCATAATCAAGTTAATGAGTGCAAATTTATTTTGCACGGAATTCCTATAAATTTAAAGTTTCTACAGGTACTTACTCAGTTAGCAAGATGTTAAATAATAATGTGTAAGGCATTTCATGTCATTCATGTGTATGACATCAACAATTATCAGTATTATTTTATTTATCTTTGTTGTATATTTGATTATAGAAACTTGAATGCTTATAAAACTTAGATTCAGTTAAAATATCAATTTTCAACTTTTATGCCACTTCAAAATGATTCAATTGTTCTACTTTTGTTTATTAAAACGAGAGTAAAAAGGAACCATAATTATAAATACAAGATTAGTTTACAAAAAATTAAATGATAATCAATTTGATTGTTGATCATGTTGATAATTAAGACCGAAGTACCATCCCATAAGTTTGAGTACTGTTACCCACATATATTTCCAGAAACCTTGCGAATGGCCTATAGCAATACTTCGACGACTCATATTGATGGCACTTGTTGATCTTGGAATACTTAAATCATCATAAGACTTTATTGCTGTCGTTAAGTCTTTAGCATGAACTAATTGATCTGCAAGTTGATAACCATGCATGATAGCCATATTTGCTCCATTCCCAGCAAATGGACTCATAGCATGTTGAGCATCATCAATAAAAATAACTGAACCATGATTTCGAAAGGGTGTCATATCTTTGGCATTGAAAACAGCAACACTGCTACGCAATGTCTCTTTGAATAATGTAGGCATAGGTTCACCGTAAACTTTTGTACGTTCTTTAGCTTCAGTTAAAATCTCATCAATCTCATTATCAGGTATTGTTCCAGCAGCCTTCGATTCACGAGATTTGTCTAAAGTTCGAGTACATGCTGCAATTATAACAGCACCAGCGAAATTGAGTACATGCTCTGGTCGAAGTGCTTTTCGAATAAGACTGTTTGAACCATCAGCAACTATTAATAAATCACATTGTTCTTGAGTGTCATCAGCTAAATCAATTAAGATTTACTCATCGTCAAGCTCATGTGCAGATTTGATAGCACAATTTCAATTAATAATAATTGATGAAGGTACGTTTTTAATAAGAATTTCACGCAATTTGGAACGTGCAATACGAAAACTTGATTGAGATAAACCTTCAACAGGTGGTGATCGAATTTGCATCAATGGAGAAAAATCAGTGTTGAAGAGTGTAAAATGTGTACCGGGATTACTTTCTGTGATCATTTCATCAAGAATACCAAGTTTTTGAAGTGTTTGCATTCCGCCACTAATTGCATCTCCGCGAATTGAAAGTGAATAGCCTTCTCGTCCAACAGCATCGACTGATGTATCACGTTCATAAACGGTAATAGTCGGTGGTGGTTCGATTTTTTTTGTTGCATTATCAAGAAAATGTTGTAGTGCAATGCAAAAAGTTAATCCACCGATTCCACCACCTGCAATGATGATACGTTTACCAGCCAAAAAGTGTTGTTGATCGGTTGTATTCATTTTTTTTCAAGAAAACTATAAAAAAAATTATTACAAAGAAGAAGTTAGAACAACTAAATCGATTATATGCTTTTTAATCTTAGCTACGTAAACATCTACCAATTTATAATGACGCCTTTGTTCTCTTTCATCATATTCTACTATCAAGGACTCTATTGCATCAGTCTTTTTCGCATGTGTTATATTAAATGTTTACTATTTTTGTGACACATTTGTGTGAATGCACTCTTATAATTAAAAATAAGATGATACTATGAGTCACATCTACGTCATCGTCATTGAAAGAATTACTTATCTTAATAACTTTTAACAATACAGTTGATATCATTTATTATAGAAATCACGTCAATTATATAAATGAAGTAGAAATCACTTGATACATTAATCTTAGGTCTTTCTATTTTTTGAAAGAAAATTTAAGTAAAATTTCTTCTATTAAATATGACCATATTATCAAGAGCACATTTATATAGACGACGAGAAGGACAAACAGTATGATGAGTAAATAAATAGAATACAACTCAACAAAGTAAAAGTGACATCTGTTGATTGCTTGTATTGCAGCGATTGAATGTATTTTCAAAATATTATTTGCTTCCATTCCGATTGGGTTTTTTTTCAAGAAATGCTATAATATCCAGTAGAGTAACTATCACATTATCCCAATCATATACTATATGTATAGATATGAGTGAAAGCCTTCAACTCGATAAACCAAACTTTACTAAAGATTCTGAAATTCATAGATTTAGTACTTGATAGCTGGAACAAAAGAGCTGAATACTCTAGTTATTGAGCACATCCATAGAGTTAACAATCGAGAGTGAATTGGTTTGAATGGCCAGAAAGCTTAATCGTAGATGAGAATACAAATGCAGATTGTCTGACTTCAACGTACAGATGAAGAAAAATATTGTCTTAGCGACTTATTAAATATCTAGCTGAATGTACAAAATTTCATACTTGAATACACAGGTGCAACGTTAAGACAAAGATTCTTGTCTCATAGTGCAGTCTTAATGCGACGCATGGCTCACATTTAACACGTGGTTTCGATCAAATTCTCGATTAATTTATGTGTCTTCTGTATCAGAAGCAAACAGTCTAAAACCAAGTAGGAATATTATCTAGTGCAACATTTTATGATCATATTTCTTTGAAAATAAAGCCACAGAAATTAGGATCTGTAAGCTTTGTTAACATGTCGAGCAAATGAATGAACTTTAATAGACGATTTATAAATGCTGGCGAGTTCTCACTGATTATATCTAGAGAACTGGCGTAAGACATAAATTACTAATTTATCAATTGAGTGAAAGCAAATAAGACTATATTACATACCCACAGTCTTCTTACGATTTCTTAAGATGATATAATTGGAACAAGTGTTATTAAACTGAGTACAACTATCCATGTGATCCATCGCTCGATACTTAAGAAATCTCAACTAGAATTTTGATTTTGTATCTGTTACCTAACAGTGCAATCCAGTTCTAAGTCACAATACATATTCTACGGGGTAGTTCCATGGGTAGTCAAACACAAATACACAAAGTATCCAGAAAATTTTCTTTTTTTTGCTAGACGTTGTAGAGCTTTTTTCGCTGATCATTTTGGTATAAAAAAGTTGTAAACTTCATTAAGAAATGACAATACTATAGCCAAAATAAAATTACATAGTAAAGTAGTTTAAAATGCCATTTTTCCTGATAAAATATCAGAAAGAGTTGAGTCTCTGATCTCCAAGTGATCATATACTCGTGAAATATGATAAAGCNTTTTTCATTGTTGAGAAAATTCATTTTTTCTAGGTATGAAGTGAAAAAGTCGGAAATTCTACTCATAATTCTCGATTTTTTCAACTAAAACTCAATTTTTATGCAATAAAAATATCAGATTCGGAATCAGCATCGAAAATTGAGTCGACTAATGTACATCTCTATTCTACCCGAGTGCTTTAATTTTTTTCGAAATTTAACGTTGACAAGTCGAGAATTTTCTTGTTGAAAAATCGAAATTTTCACCGAAAAATGAAGATGAACTAAAAATTTCGAAATGCACATCGGTCGACTCAATTTTCGATGCTGATTCCGAATCTGATATTTTTATTGCATAAAAATTGAGTTTTAGTTGAAAAAATCGAGAATTATGAGTAGAATTTCCGACTTTTTCACTTCATACCTAGAAAAAATGAATTTTCTCAACAATGAAAAAACATTTCAAAAAAAACGATTCGTACTTTTATTGTGCATCAAATGATGATTCGAATGACATGTGAATGAAGGATCTATGTCTTGCCAAAAAAACCTAGATAGGTTTGCAAATTTTGGTACTATTATGGATAGCGATACTGCCTCATGAAGTTTCAGAATGGACACGTAATACGTTCTAAGACTGTCGATAATGTTGTTAGAGTCAATTTTCAATGAGAAAACCGAAAATGATATTGGTGGGAGCCAAAATTAAATTGGTAAAGAATTAAACGCTGATTTTCCATAGATAGGCTGTTTTTATTAATTTTGACACTCCATTAGTATTTTGCGATTTTCTCTATGAAAACTTTGTCAAATCGAAAAAATAAGAAGATATTCGTAATCAGCATTACAAATTGAATCTAGAAATGTATGTCTAAAGAAAAAATGAAGAGCACTCAAATTTCGAATTAGTTGCATCTTAACTGGTAACGGGAGAGTTAGCATTTACTTCTTTCTAGTAACTTCTCAAAAAGACGAGTTATCACTTCCATTCGATCGAGCATCGTCATTACATTATTTATTCACTTGACCCGCTACCAGGTAACTGGCAACTCCAAACTCTGTTAAATGATGTATTGACGATATTCGGTCGAATGGAAGTGATAATTCGTCTTTCTGAGACATTATCAGGAAAAAGTAACTGGTAACTCCGCCATTACCAGTTACCCAGATCAGAGATGGAACCAGTCTAGTTTTTCTTCCAGGCCGGTACTGGTACCGGTCCAAAAAAATCAGATCCGACCAGGCCGGCCAGCATACCGGTCTACCAGTTGTACAATTAAAATCAATAACAACAACGCGTTACTCTTAGTGATAAAAGCAGGGAAGTGGAAAATTTAGATTGGTTCAGACTGGTCAGACTGGTTCCATCTATGACCCGGGTAACGGTAACTTTTCCGTTACCAGTTATCTGATACCATAACTGGTTGGTACCGGTAACTTCCCACCTCTACTTTTGGTTCAAAAAATATATCTAGGGTGACAGAAATTTAAGGACACAGTCAAAGATAAGGGATGCTGATGATGATTTTCTGCATTGGAAAAAGCTGATCAGTTTTTCCCAGTATCAATGATCGAAAAATTATCTTGTTTTGCCTCTAATGAGTTTCAGTTCACGTTTTATGATCATGCTCGCCCCACATATCCATGTAAAAACAGCACACTGAAAAACTTATTAAATTCGATTAAGATCAATATTGTCCAACGAAAATCTAAATAATCGATTAAAAGTTTAATTGATTAAAATTGATTATTGTTGTAATCGATTATAATCTGATGTTTCATGTAATTTGTTTTACATATGTACTCACTGAAACACTTCTTGTCTCCTTGGAAGTGGCCGCATTTCCATCGGATCATCCTACAGAAGAAAATTCGAGATCTATAGTTGAGAACATAGGATGGTTTTCTCTTTCTTCCTTGCACATCGTCAGTAGACCTTATCATAGCAACATATATACCAAATGATTCTAAGTCAGAAACATGGCAATTTATGACTTTTTGACTGTAATAATTTCTTCAAAAGCATGCAATTATATCTCACTACCCATGTAAAAATTTTTAGCAATTTAACGAAAACTTGTGACGTGAAAATTCGTTAAAAATTTAACGAGTTCACGATTAAAAATGTTACAATTTTGACCGTGTAAACGCGTGAAAAATGCAAAAACTTAACGCGTTTCAACGCATTTTTATTTCTAACGCGTTTTTTTATGTTAAATTGTATAATCTTTAACGAGCCTTCACGCGGTAATTTATTCATAAACACCTGAAAACGCGTTAAATACGTTAACTGAAATATATATTACTACTCAGAATTTCTTATTGTTATACACTTCAAGTATGACGAAGTTTTTTCAATAAGCGATGCATTTCTAAGTTTCATTTGTCTCAAGAGAAAAAGCTAGGTGATCAGTTCAATATCGAATGTACTTTCTAATAAGATACTTTTAAGAAAACTTAATTGTCAATATAATTCTTTCATAATAGACATTCAAACCAGCATGGAATTACAATAATTTTTTCTTTTCCCAATATCTCAGCACTTAAACTAGTTACATCTTTATTCGCTAGGGTTTTGCTGTGGTATACGTACTAGAAATGTATTTCATAGCATGACCAAAATGATAAGACAATAACTAGTTTAAATTTTGAGATATTGAGAAAAGAAAAAATTTAATGTAATTCCATGTCTGTTTGAATGTCTATTATGAAATAATTGTATTGACAATTAAGTTTTTTTAAAAGTATCTTATTAGAAAGCACATTCGATATTGAACTGATTGCCTAGCTTTTTCCCTTAAGATGAATGAAACTTAGAAATATATCGCTTACTGAAAGAAGTACGTCATACTTCAAGTGCACAGCAATGAAAAATTTTGAGCATTAATATATATTTTAGTTTATGCATTGCACTAGTTTTCACAAATTTTTCTCTTCATATACTTTAATTCTATTTCACGTGATGCATAGTCGGCGATTCTGAATGTTTTTAGGCTATAGTTAGTATAAAAACATGTGTAAGGTCAAATACTCAAACATATGTAATTACTTCATGAATTATCTCAATTTTAGAAACTATACCTTACAAATTCTTCATTATTTCTACAGATAACTTCTTCAAATATTTTGATTTATAATCATGAATTGTAATTGCATGCAAAAAACGCTTCCAGGATTTTTCCTATCTGCTTAAAGACATATTTATATATTTGAATATTTGTTTAAGTATCCTACCATTTAGATGAAAAACCCTAATAAATATAGAGTCATACAAGTAAAGATATTGAAAACAATAAAACGCAAGAATGGCAAAGTACAAGATAATAATCATACAGAGAGAGAGCATGATCAAATCAACTAAACGAATAACACTACGAAAGACCGTTAAAAATATAAACAAAAATTGCTGAGAAAAAAAGTACAGAAGAGCATGAGACAGATAATAGATTAAAATTGAAATAGCATTATAAGAAAAAAATATATTATTAAGAAAAAAAAATCAGTTTAAAATTTAATGCCAAAAATAAAAGCTAACGTAAGCAGAAATCATTCATACGATAAATTAAAAATGTAGAAAAAAAAAAAGTAAAATCCATCGTACAATTGAAAAAGAGCGATGAATTTTTAATTCTGAAAATATCTAGGAAATCACAAGATATAATGTTAACAACTTTATATTTATAATTATTATATGTCAATCTTAATATCTACATGACGCAAGATAATAGTGACAATGAAATTCAAAATGAATCCTGAGCATGTGTATCTTTTAGAAAAATATTTTATTATCAACGCCTATAAGAATCAAGTTATTTGGAACTCTAATACAAAAATAAATCTTATGGAATTTGTGATGCACATTTCATAGATCAAAACTTTAGATAACCATTCAGGTGAACAACATACGACTGATTCCGACGAAAAACTCTGCAGAATAGCAAAAATTCAATATCCGAGTCCAGTAGTCGAATTTCTCTAGGGTCAACCGAAACCAAACATAATTGAACAAAGTCGGGCGCTGGATACGATCATAGTATTCGTGGTATTTACCGAAGTTTTTCGACTAGCAACAACATCTTGTCCACGAATTCCAGTCGACAATTCACGCAACTAGTAGGTGCCAGAATCATTGATCTCGAACTATTCATTCATCAATAACTTTGTCGAACATTATTTTGGTTCTAACCTTATGCTTAACTTTCAATCAAGACGTTTGAACTATCTGAACACGAAATGAAACTCGACCGGTTACATTTAATAGTACAACGAATGACTACCTTTTAGATGAATCATGCACTAAATTTATTATCCAAAAATACAAGCAGATAGTTATCTTCTGTCAAAAGTTGCTGTAGAATATTATGACAAGGCCTAAGAAGCATATCATTGTATCAAACGAGAATGAAAAACAAAACATAGATTAACATTTGATGTCAAAATTAGTTGTCTACTCAACGTATATTTCAAAAAACTGTTTATGAGTGTTGGAAAAAAGACTCTACCATTGTTTGCTCGCTAGTGGCTAAAGAAGATCTAAAACATGCTCCATGAATATAAAACGCCCGCATAAACGATGCATTTCACGCGTATGATCACAAAAATGATGGCAATACTTTGAAATCGATCTATTTTTTTTAAACATTATCAACAGAAAATAAATATTTTTGCACGCGAAAATTTGGCGTGACGCTTCTATATGATATGCAAAATTGTGTCTTTTTCAATTTGAGTGAGTCACACCTTAATTGCAAGTTATGAATAGTGATTGAAAGTAACGAGCGTTTACAAGTCTTCTTGGCGGGAACGAAAGAAAATCAAGGTGATCCTGATGTAAATATTTTTTTGTGATTGAAGGCAAAAAGAAAAATGTCAGCATAAGCAAGACATTTATTTTTGCATTAAAAGACATGATAAGTTGCAATCTTTTCACATAAAGAGAACAGTGAATAGGCATAAACAATCAACGACTAGAACTGAAAGACAAATGAGTAAACTTGAAGGAAAAATTGCTCTCATCACTGGTGGTTCTGATGGTATTGGTTTGGCTACTGCTCAACGATTTGTCGCTGAAGGAGCAGAACATGTTTTCATTACTGGACGACGTCAAACTGCACTTGATGAAGCCATAAAAAAAATTAATAGGAAAAATGTCACTGCTGTCCAAGGAGATGTATCCAATATGACTGATCTTGATAGACTATACAGTTTGATTCAGAAAGAAAAAGGTCGTTTAGATATTCTCTTCGCTAACGCTGCAATTTTCGAGACCGCACCAATTCATTTGGTTACTGAAAAAAATTTTGATGATACATTCAATATCAATGTTAAAGGTGTTTTATTCACTGTACAGAAAGCTTTACCGATTTTTGCCAATGGTGGATCAATTATATTGAATGCATCAGTTGGATCCATTAAAGTATATCCAAATGAAAGTGTTTACAGTGCTTCAAAAGCGGCTGTTCGATCTTTTGCTCGTTGTTGGACAGTTGATCTAAAAGAACGTCATATTCGAGTTAATGCTGTAAGTCCAGGACCAATAGATACACCCATATTAAGAAATGCAGGAAACACCGAAGATGAACAGAAAGAATATGTCGACGCATGTGCAGCTGCTACAGCAATGAATCGTCTGGGTACACCTGATGAAGTAGCCAAAGCTGTGGTGTTCCTTGCTTCAGATGATAGTAGCTACATAACAGGTATTGAACTTTTCATTGACGGTGGTATGGGACAAATTTGAATTGTTGTATTTTATGCAAACGACACCATCATTTAAAATACAGTTCACATGTTAATCAAAGATATAAATTTATTTTAAAACTATGAAAATGAGTTCTCACTAAATAGTGGTTACAAAATATTTGTAGACTTTTTCGTATTCATCATATCTTAAATTTTTAATTAACAATGTTTCTTAAACGTCGCGAAGGAAAACTTTGAATTCTATACATAGCTTCTAATAGTTCTGAGAGTTTCTGGTTTAGAATCACTTGTAGTTTAAGATATTCTTGAACCATAGTTCTAAAAGATTCAAGTAATTATAATCGCCAATGTAAAAAAAAATATAGAATAAAAGTAAATAAATGTATTGAACAACATAGGCATGAAAGAATCAAGAATGCATTTTTTATGTTATTTTTGTCAGAATACATCGAATAAAAAATATCCGTATTAATACAATCAAACATAGTGCCGTCAGAGAAAAACATGATGTGGGTATGCGTGTGGGTGGATCAAGAAAAGACACATACTCACACTCTTTGAAATTCAGTCTGCTTATAAATGCAAAGCAGATATACATGTGGAAAAATTTGACTTCCTGTTCTATTTATGATCTTCACGCATAGATTTATATATTGCACGAAAAACTTTATATGTGGAGAATAAAACTATGAGTTTATTCAGAAAATTTGAATTATTTTGCGATAAAATATCTGATTTTATATGCTTCATTTGCAGTGCCAAGTGCAAATAAATCTAAGTTAGAAATTGAATACTTTTGTTTTCGAAACATTGATTTAATTAGAAAAATTATATTTCACTTGATGAATGTATTAAATAGGTTTGTTTTTTAATATATAATATATCAATGACGTTGAAAATGGAAAAAAAAGTTAATTTTTCAATCTACATTGAGGTTTTCAACGTGATAAGGTGAATAGATAATTTGCGTCACATTCTCAACATTATTGAATGCAAATAGAAGAGCTAGAATAGTCAATTTGATGGTGATGGTAAAATTTTCAACCTGATCATTAGTTATTATCTGTAGATTATATCTAAATTAAAAACTGGTTCGTACTTTATGGTTTTCGCTTATTTTAGAAGAGCAAATATATACGGCACGAAAAATCCAATGTTAGATATGTATCTTATGGTTTTACCCCAGCATATATAACAGGTTATGGCTCTTGACACATTTCATCACTGTTTATTCAGAAATTCCAACCTACACTTGCTCATGTTGCCATTTGTGATTTAACAATTTAAGTAGTCTCCAACCACTTGAAGTCTATATAGGCTGTACAAAACCTTGTTGGGTGTGAAAGTGTAGATGTTGGGACACGAAGACAAGACTGACGTCTACATTTCAGTCTCAAATAGCCCTCACCCATACTAAACTCTCAGAAACCATTTTAATTATGAACGGTCTTAATTAGTTCATACCCTTTTTCGTACTGAGAAAAAAAAAACTTTTGTAGATCTGTACCTTTCATCAGATTGCTATGATACGACATGATATGATATGAGCTAAAATATAGATTCCTGTAGAAGATAAAAAGACAAATCTTTCAAAAAATTAAAAATTAAAAACAAAAACTGAACAATTTTGTGTTAATAGATAGTCAGTAAAATACGGAAAAGTTTATTTAATCTGAATCATTCGTTAGTTCATATGAGTGGAAGAGGTACAGATAAGTTCACACAATTTTGTCGATACTTTTTAAGTATGAATACAGCTGATTTTCATCAAATTTTGCAAAGATACTGGCTAACTTTTCTTTCAGTTGTTGGTATCGTTCGAAAGTAGCTGTTTGCAATTGAAAATGATCAACACTGATAAAGAAATTCTCATTGTCACTAATACATAATGATTCTAAAGCATTGATCAAGTAGAACCACGGCGATTGTTCATTCTTGTAATTTCTAAGAAACTTCAAAACTTCATCTCGGAATGGCAGTATTGATTTCTCCGTCGAATTGATAATCTGTCGCAGACATTTTAACATCGTATGGAGAAACCGAAAAATGATCTCCGTCAACGGATTATTGTCGTATTTCGATTTCATTTGATCGAAGAAATAATCTACTGCTGTATGATGTATAATTGGGGATAGGTCATTAATAATTACATGTTTCGATAGAGCCAATTGAAGATACGCTATCAAATCGATCGAATAGGTTTCCATCAATTTCGTTAGAAAACTGGCGACCTTAGCGATTGAATTATGATGGAAAAAACGATCAAGTAGATCGAATATACAATCCGAATCGACTTTAATCTGATAAAATAATGATTTCACCGCCATCAGTACACAACTTATCAAGCAATCGAATGCAACTTCATATTCATTTTGGAAGAGACTCAATTTAAACAGGATTGTTTGTAGTGTAGCAATCATTGAAAAATGGTTTGGGTTATTATCATCATACTTGGAAAATTGCTGGATAAAATAATCCTAACATCGTTCACTGTTATTACCCATTCTGACTATTTTTTTTATAGACATTCCACATAGATTTCGATTCAGTTTCTATCATCTTGTCAAGTGCTTTACTATAATAGAGTTCAGCACGTTGATTATTTCGTCGATGACGATAATGATCAGCAACAGAAATTAGTTTTTCAGAAGTCCATGTTTCTTCATCGTTTAATTCACGAGCTGTACTCAAATGGGGATTTTTCTGCGAAATTAATTGTTGAACTAATAGTAGATCACGACTAATACTTTCGCGAATGAAATCTATGCCATTATATCTGGCCAGCATTTCTAGCTGTGGTATTTGCCTTAAGATAAGAGTAGCTTGTGCTCCAATACTTGGTGATTTACATGCGATAGCTTGATGACAATAGGATTTTGCAGAATCCAGATCACCTAATTGAATAGAGACAGATGCTAATAAAGTATTAACTTGAGCACAAAAATCTTTATTTTCAGAAAAATATGGATTGTTCAGTGATTTCTCCAAGTATTTGATTGCTTCAGAAAGCTTCTCATTGTACATGAGGTAATATCCATACATGAAGTTCAAAGTAGCAAACATTCGATGTGTTAATGGATAAAAAGGTTCCAGACATTTGATAGCCTTTTCCATGATGTCTAAAGCATCGATCTTATTGTTCACTCTAAAGTATGCTGCAGCCATTTGAACATACACGCAGCCATTAAAGATCATTTCGGCTGAACAAGGCATGTGAGACTCGATTTCTACTGCTTCTTCCCAATAGTTCAGTGCTTCTAGAAAACTTCCCTTTTGAGAATAAGTGTGACCCAAATACAATAGACGTAACTTTTCATCAACTGTATTGTCCAACAGTTCTTGACTAATAAATAGTTCAGACTTACTCACTTCATTATCTATCCGCTGATTGGAATCATCCATAGTCACATGACTAGAAGCAATAAGATTTGGAAACCAACCTGGCATAAATTGTGCGAGAGAAGTTTGAAGCGCGTCTATTGCCATCTGATCAGATTCCCATACTAAGTCTTTGACTTCTATGGTAGCATGACTTGCTTCTAATATTCCATGTATAAAGAATTTCAGTTTATCATCGATCGATTCATTTTCTAAAAGCATTTTAAAATATCGATTGCCTTTGATTAAGTCACCGGTTAGCAATAAAAATCCACCGAAGCACAGTAAAGATGAGGCATTATTGCTGTCAAAGAATACTACATCTTGGTCTTTGTTGTCCTTTGAATAGAGAAAATCATGTAACATATCGAATAGAAGACAGATGATTCTGCTATTCGAACGAACAATCTCTTTGTCGTTCATTGTGATCAACGCATGTAATTTCGGCACGTTTTCGATGAATTCTCCCATGCGACCTCCTTTCTTATACGCCTGAGTCAGAAACGATCGAATTGTTTCAACAAGAAATAATCGCGTTAGTTCTATAAACGGTCGAGCATAACTGACAGAATCAATTGTAAACAATTCCTTGAAACAAATAAACGGTATTTTTTTACCAGAGTTTTGGTACAAATAGGTCTGAACTTCGTTCATAAATCTTTGCACAGTTTCATCTTGTTTGAAAGTGGTTAATTCTAATTCGATAAACCAAAAACAATCTTCTTGTTGCACAGAAATGATTCGAAAGACAGATGACACACCGAAAAGAACTTCTATTTCGTCTTTAAATGAACTCTTTTCAGCAATACTAGCAAATGTACTCATGTGCTTGCCTTGTTCCGTGTCATTAATAGTAATTTGAAAGAGCACGGTCGTATTTGGATCGGCACCAGAGACATATTTACAAGCGACTTCACAACTGAATGTTGTCGATAAAAATGTGTGCATTGATATAAGACCACCAATATTCTCTTGAATTTTCTTCAATTCGTCATTGTCCATTTTTGTTTGCCCACGATAAACAGTCAAAGGTAGTGCAAGCTTTCCGTCCGCCATCTGTTGATTGTAATATTGTTTCAACTCAGCACTAAGATCCTTAATAAGCGGATGAAATAAGACTATTGCATCGCTATTGAGCATGCGGCAAGCCTTGTTAAATGCACGATAGAGAAATGAATCTCGCGTATACCAGTTCATTACCATGTCGGATCTGTATTCCGCTAGAAATTTGTCGATTTCTTGTTGTGACAATGCAATTGGTTCGTTGCGATCATAATCGTTCACAAGATAACAAGCCGCAATTACGTTTTCGAGATCTTTTGGTGAACGAGGAACATTAAGAAGGACATCAAGCATAAATTGATGCCACAAAAATGTTTTACTCTCTTCATTTAGATCATGAACGGAACCTTGTTTAGAATCCTTAGTGAACAAACTAAAAGGTATATCAGATGAAAAGTATGCACAACCAGCAGTTGCTATTGTCGTCGTCGTCGTCATTTCTTCTGTTGTTCTTCCGTGCAAGTAATGACTCGCAGTTGATAACATTTTTTTCCAACTTGGTATATTGACAGAAGCGATAAGAGTATAACAAATTTCTTCTATTACTAGCAGAGCTGTATTATTATTTGTCCTTGTTGACATAGGAACCCAAAATAGACTAGTTTTTTTTTCTTTTTGTAATTATGGAATTCGCTGAAAAACCTAGGTCCAATAACAAGCACACCCATACTCACACCCTGAACGGTACAGAATAAATATTTTCCCACAAGACACTGGTGTGCGGGTGTGATGGGGTATAGGTGATGGTTGTATGCAACTGGGTTTTTAGGCATCAATCTTCTCTTCACAAATAATCATTCACACATACAGTCACTCCCTGATACTCACGTATCCACACACTCCTACTCTTGTCCTCAAAATGTATGCCTTACTGGGTTTCATGTTTTATCTCATCAGATAGAATAATACGAAAGGCAAAGACGAGAAAGTTTCTTTATTTGTTAATGATTTTTCATTATCTGATTTGGTTCTAGAGTTAATCGTTCAATCATAAAATTTTGCTCTGATGGTTTTTATTTGAGTGTTGATGGTACACAAAGTAAACAAAAACTTCATTAATTGACAAAAGAAATTATATACTGTCTAATTTTACATTATACTAGAAAAAAAGAAAATTTAACATTCGCAGATCATAATGTCCAAAATTTGTTTTAAAGTGCAGAACATCGAAATGCTTTTCTTGTATAATCATAAGTTTTGTAGTGAGTTAGACTGAATAAATGATTTTTAAATACGGTCTAGCTTGACCATATCTATATACGATATATTCCTTATAAGTAAATCCCGTTCCTCGGACTGAATGATGACCTATGGGTGCAGATATCAATGAATTATCGACGGTTGAATAGATTGACTCATTGCCCAACAATACTTTATTATAAAATATGACGCGTGATCCATCTTCTGCAGCCGGATTCGTGTAATTATGCGATTTTCGAGCATCATCAGCGAAATAGGCGCCATGACCTATATGAAAAATCAACTATATAAAATAATAATAATATATGTCAATATCAGAGTTTTTCGGAAAGGTATTTTTCTCTATCAGATCATTTTAGCATAATTAAGCGAAATAATTTAAAGATATGAAACGATGCCTTATTATTTTGAAAATTATATGATCTTTTGTGTTAAAGTAGACTTTCTCTGCCATACTTAAATTAAAATATGGAAGATTATAAATAAGTGTATTAGTATTGAAAAATGAATATTTAAATGATAAATCTTACCCCACGCTCCATTTATATTGAAAAATCGATCATCAAAACCATCTTCTGTTATTCCATTAATTCCATCACCACTTGTACCATGAAAAAGTTCATTCTCGTTCGGATTAAATCCTACACATTGTTTAGCTATTACTTTTTTCATCCCGTCGTATATCTCTTCCAAATATGGATTTTTAATTTCCTCAATGGATATAATTTTTAATGAATTATCGATCAGTTTCATTCGTTGTGATAAGGCTATATATGAAGTGCTGGTATGATGTAATGGTACAAGAAGTACATTACATTTTGGATGAGGATTTGGTAAAACATTAAACGTTTGTCCTAATTGTTTCCATTGACGAACATTTACCATTTTATCGATACGCTGGGTCACTCGATTGTCAATAGTACGAAGAACGTAAAAACGTTTATTTTTAATATTATCAACAATTGTTTCAAGTTCAATTGAATAGGGTTTTTGTTGAATGTCAATTCGCATTCCCAAATCACGCGTATAATTTTTTTCTAATACTAAATTACTAACATCAAAATCAATTCGATCATGTGTTAAAGCAACATGTGGTTCAATTAAATCCATAGTAAATGGTCCTGTTCGAGTATTTTCATCAATTAATAAAATATATCTCCAGTTTTCTCGATAGTATTTGCAACTTATACCAAGTTTATAAAGTTCATCTTGAAATTTCTCAATATCAAAGTAAGCATGCGTAGGTAAATGACAGTCTAAATCAGCTGGAACAACTTCTCTTTTCATCGAAGGAATCTGTTCATTGTTATAATTTGTATTATATTCAATCCAATCGTTTGAATTTGTTCTATCTAACGGTGCTGTATATTTGCCAACAATCCAATCTCGAACAAAACCACCTTCTAATTTACAATCAAATTTACAAACAGCTATCCAAGCAACAACTTCCATTCGTGTTTCACGTGTTGCTGTCGAACTTTTGACACTATTATATAAATCGATGAATGTTCGTTTAGGGTCTGTGACATTAGAAATTCGTTTTTCAATATCTTCACAAAAAATACGCATTTGAGGACGAAGAAGACGTGGAGAAACGCCTGAAATAAATAAATTTGAATAAATAAAATTAGTTTGTGTTTATTGAAGGTCATTTAAACACATGTTAAATACTGAAACAAAAAGTATTTCTTTGTACCTGCATTAGGATGTCTAACAACAGCACACTCTTGTAACCAACTTAGAAATGAATTAAATTCTTGTTTGACTTGTTGAACTTGTGAATCCCTTCCTTTAACTGTTATTTCACATGATTTAGTGGCTGTGTTACTATTTACTGTTATTTTAACTTGTTTTTGAGCTTCCCATCTCCAAATCATTGGATTAAATATTTGAGTCATTTTCATAACACTATGTAAATTTTGTGATAAATTTTTATATTTTGTAGAATTTACTAAATTATTGTTTTCTAAACAAAATGGATATTCAATAATCATTTGTTGAAACAGATATAATTCAGCATTGAGAATATCACCTGCTGGTCCATTTAAACTAAGAAGCCTATTATTTAATCCCATTTGAATCTTATTGGAAAACTTTGATTGTGCAGTTGAATATCTCTTATTCTGTTTAAGATGATTTTCTTCAGCTTCATTTAATTTTATTTGACGTTCAACATAATGTTCAATCCAATCAGCTTTTATCTCTCCTAAGAATGAAATTATAGCTGTTAAACGAATAGAACTTAAATAAAGAATATCTCGTGCTACGACAAGAGATACAGGTGCTTGACTAATGGGTCGTGTTAATGTTGATTTTAAATCTAAAACAGCTGTATCATGTGTATGACTATAACGCATAAAATGATGAGTTCTATCTTGTAAGTCTCTTTTAGAAACAAAGACATTGTCTGAATAACCTGCTAATAACGCTTTGGCTATTAATTTCCAGTTATCACATTTTATTTGAGCTTGTTCACGATAATCCGTTGAAAGATCAAATGATTTTTCTAAACTAGCATATCGTCTTAATGCTTGTCCAATAATATGTTTTATATGATTAAGACCTTTAGCTTCACAAACACGTGTTAAGTTGAATGCTCGTGCTGGAACAGATTGTTTAATTAATAAAATATCATTCATTATATTTAGAAGTGTCATAAAATCACCATCTGAACTTTTAAAACTTTGTGGTAATTTTGTTAAAAGACTTGTTGTATTTAAAACACTAAGAATAGATGCAAGACAAATTAAATCACGTCCACAATTGTATTGTTGAAGAGCAGCTAATACACATCGTGCCATAGGTAAAGAACCAAAATCAGGTAATTTAGCAAGCAATTTACCATAGTTTGTCAATTGATCTGAATTTGGTTCCAAAATATCTATAAACATAGAGTTCAATATTAATAGCTCATGACAAAAATATTATTTTATACATATAGAAACTTATATTATGTCAAAATAAAATATTTGATCAATTCGTATTCTATTTGTTTCCTAAACTAGAATTAAGGAATATTCGAGTTATAATTTTCATCAAAATTAACATCATTATGTATTCTTAGATTGAGTATAACTTGGTTTGTCTCGATAAACAACGTAAAATAACACAAGTAATGATATAAATTTGCTTTTAAAAATGTAAAACTGAAATCGTTCATGTTAAAATCTTAAACTCAATTAATAAGATTTATCTTATTAATTGTAAAGTAAACATGTGCAGGATAAGTACTTTTCAATTGACTGAGAAAAATGTTCATACGTTTACTTTATCTTTTGAAACTTTTATCTCATTCTCACTTAATTCTATCGTAATTAGAAGACTTAAAAAGTGATAAATAACACAAATACTATCACAGTAGAAATGTACAGAGTAAGATTTTTTTCTTCGTATCCTGTACCCAACCTTATTCTGCAGATTTCTGTTTGAAAGCATTCCTGATTTAGTATGTATTTGACTAACCTAACAAAAGCTAAGTTGAAATTTTTTTTGTTTTCAACGATCAATATAACTTACTCATTTGTATTAATTTATGCATAGTAAAATCAATAGCTGATTGTTTGGGTTGTTTAGGTAAAAATTCTTTCATATTATCTAATCCATGTTTCAATGGTGATTTTCTTAATGAAAATTCAATAGTAATCAAATCTGATTGACATATTTGTGGTGTTGGATATGGTTTAAGTTTAGCATCAAAATCATACAAAGCATAATATTCTCCAGATTGTGTTCTGCCTAAACGTCCAAGACGTTGTTTTATTGTTGATTCAGCTGCACGAACTTCTTTCAATATTATGCGTTGAGCTTCAATATCATAAACAGGAATATTAATCATACCAGTATCAACTACATATTTTAATGATGGAAATGTTAAAGAAGTTTCAGCAACTGTTGTTGAAAAGAAAACACTTCCTTTTTCAAGATATTCTTGTTGAATAAAAGATGATTGAGATTGAACCAATGGATAAGCAACAATTGTATTTTGACTTATTTCAGCTAGTAAACGACAACATTGATTAACTTCTGAAACTGAATTAACAAAACATAATATTTGATCTTGTCGTCGTCGTTTATGATATAATTCTTGCACAATATTTAAAATATTTGCATTTGGTCGTTCAAATTTTGTTACAGGATAAAGAGTACCCATTAATGGTTTTGTAAATTCTGAAAATTTAATACTTTTTATATTTTGAAAAAGTTTTGGTACAGATGGATGTAATGTGGCAGATGAAATA